CCTATCAGATCAGGGCCCTATCCTTATAGTCTTATTTAACTTTAATTACTTCCTAGAAGCCCTCTGTCCAAATACATTTACATTGTAGGTTAGGGCTTCAACATATGGATTTTTGGGAAACTTAGTTCTGTCCACAGCATTCACATTACTATGTTCACACTGCCTCATTTGCCTGAACAATCTTTCCCAGCAGTCTTTGCCTAGTTGACTAAGCCTGATCCTGCAGTTCTCAACTTATACATCACTTTCTCCAGGAAATCTTCCCAGCCCCTGTAAGACAGCTATTGATTTCTTCTAAGTGTACCCCTCAGCTCCTTATATTTATCCTATCATTGCATATATCACACTGTGTTGCAATTGCCTTTTGATCCATGTCTGTTCCTCACTAGATTGTAAATGCCTTAAAGTCTGGTCATCTATCTTGTTTATTGTTGGGGTCTGAGCACCAAGAACAATTCTTGACAAACATAGTAGTCACTCAGCCCATATTTGTTAAATAAAGTATACCTTCACCATTTTGAATAGAATTTATTCTTTCCCTAGAAACATCTGTAACATTAAATAATCTATAACCCTGAATTTTTGGGTTTGATATTTTAAACTACAGATGATACTAATAGGACTTGAATATCTCATGTGGGTTTAACATAAAATACTCAAGACTTCTAGTTTAAAAAAACCCCAAAACTATAGTCTCCTCAAACCACTCACATCATGGAGATTTTTGTTTCCCAAATTTAAGAAAGGCAAATAGCAATCACCTGCTTCCAAATCAATTCTTCATTTTTGTGCCTCTCTTATCCTCCTTTCTTAAATCATGAATCAAAGCCACCTCTAAGTAAGTTTTCTACTCAGTCCTGAAGACGCTATTGGTACTCAAAAATGCTAAGTATGAATGTTGTGGTGTTTCAGGTTGTTGGGTTTCTTCTGGAACAGGGAGCAGATATCACCCTTTGCAATTACAACAATCAAACTGCGGTCCATGTGGCTAATTGTGATGTCCAAAGACAACTCCTGACCACCAATGCAATCCAGACTCCCCAAATGCAGCTTCTACACAGTTCATGGCAAGGTGATCTTGAACAGCTTCAACAATTGTTGGTCAGTCAAATTGATGTTTGCTTCTGCCTTTGGGTGGGTGGTTTGATGGTAAGGGCACAGACTACATATGACTCCTTTTAAAGAAAAATAAGCTGTCTTAAAATGCAGTCCCAGGAAGTTTCAGGCAGGAATATGCCAAAGAAATATGATCAAATAGGACACTGGAGTGAAACACAAGACGATAAAAGAACAAAGCAGCAGCCTATTTCCATCTTTCTCCTGTTGGATGTTAGAAGTCACGCGGCACCCTTGGGAAATGGTGTGCTCCTGTGATGCCCCTAGAGAGCTACCGTCAGCTTGCTCAGAAGCATTCCCTTGACATCTTTGCCATTTGTACAATTGCTGTTTAGATCCCTTTGGACTAGTTGCTGTTATTATCTTTATCCTGAAAAGGGAACCAGAGAGCTTATGCTTTGCAAAATATTTAGTTGTGACTAAAGGAATTAAGAAGATACATTTTTAAAATGCTTTCTTCTTAGGGTATTGATCTTCTTGTTTAGATTTTCTACCCATAGATACCCTTTTCCAGTGTAACTTGCAAAACCATATATATATAACCAAGGACATTAATTGTTGGTAGCCCTTGTCTACTCTTGGCATTTACGTTGAGATTCTGTCAGGTCACATGACCTTCTATCCGAAAGGAAATCAATTGCTGCTAGGAAACAGTTTCTTTCATTGCCTTATGGTACAGATGCAAATAGGTAAAGAAAAAGAGAAAAAAAAAGAGAATGGTATTCTAGTCACCTAGAGTTCAAGAAAATATACAATATCCAAAGGACTCTACATTTTTTGTTGTATTAAATGATAGTCTAAAATTACGATATTTCATGAATTCGAGCTTAGAATTTTTTTGAAAGACAGTACATTTTATTTTAATGGTATTTGTAAGCATTGTCATCCAATGTCTATTTTTGTAACAACATTTTTCGTCCCTAAAGATTGGTGGCCAAGTTTTAAAACACTCGTATCCATCACTGAATCCGGAGCTTAATCAACAAATGCTGGAATTAATGTGCTATTGAAAGACTATATTCAGCTCAAAACTTTCATGTTGGTTCTAAATAATAAACATTAATATAAGAGGTGGTTTCTTTTCAGAGACTGAAAAAAATGCTAACTAATTAATTCCCACAGCACCCCTCTGAGGTAATATCATTATCTGTAGTTTGTCCCTGGAGAAACTGAGGTAGAAACACTGACTATGTTAACGGGGCATAAAGTGAAACAGAGATGAAAATTAGTGAGTTACTTTGGTCTATGAAATGAACAATTTGGATAATTTGGCCTTTCAGGAGCTTTTCAGTTTTGAATTATCCAAATTTAAAATTTGATTACTTTAAAACATTAAAACACCCAACATTTATATATCCACCATTGATTATATAAATACAGTTAAGTGAATGGCCCCATTATTGTAAGTCAGTCATTCATTCCACAAATGTTTATTGAGCATGTGTCAGACACTCTGCTCTCCAATCATCAAAGCAACCCTGCAGGGAGTACACTATTATTCTCACTTTACAGCTGAGGACTCTGAAGGCCAGTGAGTAGGGTTGCCAGATTTTGCAAATAAAAATACAGAATGCTCAGTTAAGTTTGAATTTTAGATAAATATCATTTTATAATTATGTTCCAAATGAAAATTACTCATTGTTTAATTGGTGGTATCCCTTATTTTATCAGGGTGATTTAATCACATTTTAACAAAGTGTCCTTGATGTAACTCTATCAAGGAAGATTAAATAACCAACTTAAAAAGCTAAAATTCAAACCCAGTTCTGTCAGTGTCTTAGGTCTGTGTTCTTTCAATCCATCAGCTTCTTCTCAATATACATATTGAAAAAGAATGTATTGAAGTTAAAATAAGAATTTGGCCAACCAATGAAATGCAAGGAATAGGGTAAACAGACATTCAGAAAAACATAACGAAAATAAAGTTTCATGTTTTTAAAGACATCTGAAGAGTTCCTGGATGTAAATTTCCCAAACCAACATGGCTCGACTCCTCTGATGCTGGCTGTGAGAGATGTGGACCTGTTTGAGAGCCTTGAAATGTTAACAGCCTACAGACCTGCAGAGGTTCTGTCTGAGCTCCTTAGACATCACGCGTGAGTATGAGTGGCCAGGCAATACCAGTGGAAGTGCACATATACCAATCTTATTTACAAAGGTCACTTAGATTTTTTGAATTATATATACTAATTGCACACGAGTGTTCGCAGTTGCAGTGATATACAGATATTAGATGTTGCTCTTATTCTTATTACATTGGTCCTTTGTTTTATTGGTTTAAGTAGTTATTCTTTTGGTAGTCACTGGGAATGTCAGATTCTTTAGCATGTAGCTCCCTACCCCCAAGATGTTACTGCTTATTTTGGAAAGCATTGTCTATTATCAAAGTAATTATTTGGAGTTATCTAAAAATTACTGCATGCCAACATGCTCTTTCAGGAGGGGGCAAGTAAACATTTAACTAAAAAAAAATCCAGAATGTTAACAACCAACCTCTTAGGTTATAATTGCACTTTCCTAATGCTGCTTGTTACCTAGTTATCTTGTCATCGAATAAGAACAGATGGCTCAAGCTCTTTTGTATGCATTTTGTTTTGCCAAAAAATAAAAATAAGGAAAAATGAGCTTCAGAAAGAAAAGTATAATCTAGAATGTGAGCTATTTTTAAAGTATTGGATAGTATAAGGGGTTGAAGATGGACATTTGAAGCTACCTCAGAATTTAGTGTTGAGAAACGGCTGAGGATATCGTTAAAAACCGAGGTTACTGGATACCACTCTAGGCATGGTGTTCAGCAGTCCTGGAGTTGGGTCCAGAATACAGGACACCAAAGGATGCCACGTGGAGAAACGTTATCATGGACAGATGAGCAAACTGAGGACTCAACAAGTTGAGTGACTTGCTTAAAGCCACTTATCAAGGTAGTGGCAGTCTCCTGATCCTTGATTTTATGCTTTATGTGATTTCTTTTGAGTCATGACCTTTGGTAGAGAAAAGGCCTTAACAGAATATTGCTGCCAGACCCATAACAATAGATTCACATTCAAAAGTGTTAGGTCAGAGGCCATAATCAACTCTCTCCTTGTCCAGAGCATGACTAGGAAGTTTTATTGTTGTTTGCCTCACCATAACCTGTTGATAGGATTCTCATCATTTACCCTCTGAGTCTTTCTGAGCTGATGTCTAATCCTAGGATTCAGTAGAGGGTAGAGAGGATATTAGTACTGTTTCAAGGAGGCCTAAGATCAGCCAGTTGGGTTTAATAACCACAAGGCAAAGCAAAGGGAAGTGTAAAGACCATGTAGAGAGGGATTTTATGACAAGATCACCCCACTCAACCAAGAGCCTATGAAATAAGCTTAATTTTAAAGAGAAATTCTATGCTGTTATACTATTTTGAATGATAAAAGAATTTGGTGTTAGCATTAGGAAAAAAGATATATCGAAGAAGTAAGCAGTTAGCTAAAACATTGGAAAGGAAAAGAATGAAGTCAACTCTTTGGAATGATAAATTAATGCTTTATCAAGACATTTTTATCTTTGTTTAATTTACACATCAGTACAAAAATTTTTCTGCAAATATTAAGATGTTTTTAGAATGGGAGTGGGAATAAGATATATAGCATATTCTTTTTATTTAAACATCTTGAAGAATTGCCACTTTCCCACATATTTTGAAGTCATTATACCCAAACTTATAAGATTACTTTTATTTACTTGATGTCAATGTTTTTCCTTCCATGTTCATTTTCTTTTTCAACAGATTTAACTAAATAATCTTTGATGTTGATTCTATTCCCCTTAGAGATCCTAAACTCTGTGATTTTAGTGGAAAATCAGCAATACATTATGTGTCACAAATAAAGAGTCTTAAGAAACAGCAGTTATTGGACATTCTAATGAATTCTATGCCAAAACCAGGTAAATATTTATATTCCACTCTCAGATTTTCCCAACTATGAGAGCCTTATAGAAATCTCTCTTTTTCTACATGTATTTGATGGATCCACTTAAAGAAATCTAGCCAACAACTATTTCTTGAGCACTGTCTGAAAGGCCATGGCTAGGTTCTCTGAGGAATGCAAAGAATTCTAAGATGTGGTCCAAACTTTTGAAAGTGTTGAGTATGGTCAGGGATACATCACATAAGTCAGAGGAGAAAGAACTTAGGAACTTGAAAGGGGAAAAGGAACTTATCGTGGTTCTTGAATGCTGGATAAGGTATGGTAGGAAGAAAAAAAGAGGGAAGTTTTGATATAGTTGGGAGAGAGAGTCTGAGCAAAGACATAGTGACAGCCACAGCAAAAGGCATAATGAAAAATAATGCCACTGAGCAACATGTGACTTTGTGAAACCTGATTGACTTTATTGCTTGATTGGCTTTTTATTTGAAGCTTCTGGGCAGGAAACAATGTATACCTAAAAAAGATTTCATGGAGGAGGTGAGACCCCCTCCATGAGACTTTGGTCCTTGAAAATGATAAGATTTGAATTTGTGAAGCAGAGGCTCCATGCCGTAAGAAAACGTGGTTATCCTAGGGCCAAACAGGAGACTAGAACCAAAAGTTCATGCCAGGAGAAAGAAACACATAACATCAGATACCTAAAGAAACTGGCTCTATTGAGGACCCATTAAATGTAAAGCTGAGGATTTTTTTTTCTATAAAATAGGATAACTGAAGAATTCTGAACCAGAGAATGATGAAACCCATATTTTAGGAAAATTAACCTGTTTTTATTGTGTAGGATGGATTCAAAGAAAGAGGCTCATGGCAGGGAGTTCGATTAAGAAAATATAGAACTGTCCATGTGTGGTGATAAGAACCAGGAAAAGAGTCCTTGGACAAGGTGTGGTAGTGGGTTTGAGAGGTGCTGGATGTGGTCAGTTTAGTAGATATTATGAAAGAGGAATTCACAGAACTTGATGTAAAGCTGATAGAGGAGACACAAAGACAAAACTTGAGAAAGGGTTGCTTCAAACATGATTCTGAAGTTTCAGCCCTGGGATGAGGGGAGATGGAAAGACAATCAATAAACTAAAAGAACACTAGTTTGGTGAGGATATTGAAGACAACGAGTTCTTAAACAATGGATTGATGGAACCTCTGCACTTTGAAGTAACAATTTTCTGTAGGACAGAGTTTCCAGGAAAGGACAGGTTGATATGTTAGTCTGGGAGTTCTCTACACAAAGAAGATTGTGAGGACCTGAGAGTGAATAAGATCACTGAAGGACTGAAAATGGTGAGGAAATTGCAGGAAACTGAGCCAAGGAGGTACACCCACAGTCAGAGAGTGGTGTGCACATAGGGTCTCAGTGGAGTTAGAGAGGGAGGAGGAAAATTGGGAGAGAATTGCAACAGGAGTAAATGGAAACACCAGATTAGAAGAGAGGATACAAAGCAGATGTGGTAAGGAAGTGGGAAGTTTCAATGGCCAGATAGAGGCAGAAGATAGACTACAAAGAGTAAAGAAGAAAAATATGGTGAAGAAATAGAGGGTCTAAGTATAGATCACTTGTTCAATTTTGTTTCAGTTACAAGATAAATGGAATGGCCATTGGAAGAGGAAGAGGTTTTCATCCAAAAGCCCATGCTTATTTGAAGAAATGTTAAGCTAGCAGGAAGGGGATGAATATGAAAACAGTATCCTCAGGAACAAACTGGGAATTCACTGTTGGTTGTTCAAACTTTGTCAATTTAATGTGGCTTCAGTGCTAGACAGAATGTGTGCTCACAGTAGCTGAATGTTTTTACCTTTGGCAACTAAAAAGCAAATGCAATTTCCAGCCCATTGTTAGGGGTTTCGCTTAGCAACTTTGCCTAATTTAAAAACAAAAACCCATTCATTCTGTGGATTCACTTTTCTCACATCTCTTTCCGTGAAAATTATCCCCTGCAGCTTCATGAAGATCCCAGACCACTATTTCAGGAAAATCTTTGACAAAATAGAACTTATTTTAAAATGAAGAACTAGATCTTCCTGTGAAATTGCTGGAGATGAGTCTTATCAAAACATGTCATCATGTTTCTTTTGGCAGAAAGACATGCTGAATCATTGTGTGACATTGGTCATGATACAATCTCTTCTCCAACTGATGTGACAGTTACTAAAAACCAAAATATACTCTTGCAAAGCGTCAGCAGCAGTGAGGTAAGGTGCTCTCTCTAAAGAAACCAACAAAAAATGGATAACCTACTCCATCTATTGCTTCATTTGTGTTGCTTAAATATTTTATAACAATTATATACTATGGTTATATTTTAATATAATCATAAAGAAATTTAAAGCACAAAAAATATGACATTCTTCTTTGAGTTTAATTGTGGAACAGAAATTAGCTAGTCAACTCTCAGTCTTATGTAGTGGGTGTATATGTGTGCATCTAATAGCACAAAATATTGTTGCAGCCATACTAAATTTAAAAAGTGTAGCTTGTTTTTATGGATGTTAACATGGAAAAGGAGAAGATCATGAATCTGAGCATGTCAAATTCATCACAGGGTACCACAAAAGAGATGCCTCCTTTGTCCTTAGTAATCAGTCACCTCCTGTCTGTGATGAATGACTCCACAAAAAAATCCCTCATAGTACAGTAGCAGTACTAGTAACAAAGATTGTGATCCATAGAAAACTATGGTAATGACACACAACAAACTGGTAACAGTGGTGGTCTACAAGGAAAGAAGTACAGATGGACTTTACACTGTGTCCTTATTTGTACCTTTTGAATCTTTATAAAATTAACATAGTCCAAACAGTTACAAATATTACTACCCAATATTTTACTGATTAGAAAAATATGGCTACAAAATTGTTTATTTTTAAAAGTTAATGAGGTATAGACTATAATATTTATAAACAATAAGGAGTTTTGGAGATGGTAGAGTAAACATATTTCAGTCACTTTTGCCTATCAAAAATCATCCCATAACAAAAAAGAAATTTTTTTTAAATTGTTTCCTAAACCTTTTATTTTAAAATAATTATAGATTCATGAGAACTTACACGTAGAGGTCCTTTGTATCTTTCATCAGCTTCCCCCAACGTGACCTATTATTGTAAAGATAGTACATTAGGCAAACTAGAACATTGACATTGACACAATACTAGACCATAGATGTCATTTGGATTTCCCTAGTCTTTGCACACATGCCTTTCTCTTTCTCTTTTTTTTTCTGCTTGTGTGTGTCTGTGTGCAGAGTTCTATGACATTTTATCCCCCAAATCACCACAATCAGGATACAAAACTGTTTTGTCAGCACAAAGTAATCCCCTCCTACTACCATCTTTATAACTGTAACACAACTCCCTTCCCTAACCCCTGGCAACTACCGATCTGTTCTCCATCTCTATAATTTTTATCATTTGGAAAATGTCATACAAATGGAATTGTCATACATGTAAGTGTGTGAGATTTGCTTTTTCTATTCAGCATAATGCTCTTGAGATAGATCCAAGGCATGTGTGTCGATAGTTTGTTTGGATCACTAAGTAGTATTCTACGATACTGATATCCCAGTTCATTTAGCCATTCACCATTGAAAAACATTTAGTGTGTTTCCAGTTTAGGGCTCTTAAAAATAAGACTACTACAAACATTTGTGTACAAATTTTTATGCATACATATGTTTTCATTTCTCTGGGATACGTGCCCAGGAGTCCAATTACTAGGTCATATGTATGGTAAATGTATGTCTAACTTTTTTTTTTAAAAAAGCCAAAATATTTTCTAGAGTGACTCTACTATTTTATATTCCCACCAGCAATAAATGGGAGATCCACCTTGTCAACATTCGGTATTTTTTTAAAAATTTTAACCATTCTGATAATTGTGTCGTGATATCTCATTGTGGTTTTAATTTGTATTTCCCTAATGACCAATGCTGAATATTTTTCATGTGTTTATATACCATCAGCATTAATCATCTGTTTAAGTCTTGTTTATTTTCTAATTGAATCATTCATTTTCTTATTGTTGGGTTTAGAGAATTCTTTTTATCTTGGATGTATAATTTACAAATTTTTTTTGCTCTTCAGTAAGAAAAACTTGGCTTGCTTTCTTCACCCTTGTTATAAAATAATGCTTATTTTTCAATTATATTTGGTATACAATATTGTATTAGTCTCAGGTGTACAACCAGTGATTAGACATTTAACTTATGAAGTGATCACTCTATATACCATAGTACCCATCAGACACCATATATAGTTATTACAATATAATTGACTATATTCCCTATGCTGTACTTTACAATCCTGTGACTACTTTTATAACTTGCAATTTACACATTTTAATCTCTCCACCTTTTTCATCATCTCCCCTATGGGTCCCCATCTCCCAACCATCAAAATATTCTCTGTATCTATGATCCTGTTTCAGGCCTGCCTGTTTTTTTATTTTGTTTTTTGGATTTTACATATAAGTGAAATCATATGGTATTTGTTTTTCTCTGTTTAACAATATTATTTTGCTTTGCACCATACATTCTGGGTTCAACCATGCCATCGCAGATGGCAGGATTTCATTTTTTCCCCCTAATTATTATTTTTTATTGCTGTTCAGTTACAGTTTTCCCAATTTCCCCTGCATTACACTCCTTTGCCATACCCACCCCCAACTACCCACATTAAATCCTCCCACCCCCATGATGTCTTTGTCCATGGGTCCTTTATACATGTTCCTTGACTTGACCCTTCACCTCCTTTCTCCCAATATCTCCCCCTCCCCTCTGGTCACTGTCAGTTAATTCTTTACTCCCACATCTCTGGTTCTATTTTGCTCACTAGTTTTGTTGATTAGGCTCCACTTATAGGTGAGATCATGTATTTCACTTAGCATAATACTCTCCAGTCCCATCCATGGAAGACAGGATTTCCTTCTTTCTTTCTGCTGTATAGGATTCCATTATATAAATGTCCCATAGTTTTTTGACCCACTCATTTACTAATGGGCACTTAGGCTGTTTCCAGCACTTAGCTATTGTAAATAATGCTGCTATATGAACACTGGGGTGCATGTCTTTTTGAATTGGTGATTTGGGATTTTTAGAGTATAATCCCAGCAGTGGAATTGCCATATCAAAAGGCAGTTCCATTTTTAGTTTTTTGAAGAAACTCCATACTGTTTTCCACAATGGCTGCAGCAGTCTGCATTCCTGCCAGCAGGGTATTCGGGCTCCCTTTTCTCCATGACCTCACCAGCACTTGTTGTTTGCTGATTTGTTAATGATAGCCATTCTGACTGGTGCGGGGTCTTGTGAGTTCTTTCTATATTTTGGAGATAAAACCCTTGTCTGACTTGTCACTGGCCAATATGTTTACCTATATGGTTGGTTTCCTTTTCATTTTGCTGATGTTTTCTTTAGCAGTGCAGAAGCGTTTTAATTTGATGTAGTCCCATTTGTTTATTCTTTCCTTTATATCCCTTGTTGTAGGGGATATATTGGTAAAAATATTGCTGTGTTGAATATCTGAAATTTTCTTGCCTATGTTCTCCTCTAAGACTTTTATGGTATCATGGCTTATATTTAAGGCTTTTATCCTTCTTGAGTTTATTTTTGTGTATCTTATAAGTCGGTGGTCAAGTTTCACTTTTTTGCATGTGGGTGTCCAGATCTACTAACACCATTTGTTGAAGAGGCTATTTTTATTCCATTTTATGTCGCTTCCCCCTTTGTTGAATATTAATTGACCATAGAGACTTGGGTTTATTTCTGGACTGTCTATTCTGTTCCATTGATCTGTGTGTCTGTTCTTATGCCAGTACTAGACAGTTTTGATTACAGTGGACTTGTAATACAGTTTGATATCAGGTATTGTGACCACTCCTACTTTGTTCTTCTTCCTCAAAATTGCTGAGGCTATTCAGGATCATGTATGATTCCATATAAATTTTTGAAATTTTTTTCTGTACATGTGAAATATGTCATTGTTATTTTAATAGGGATTTCATTAATTCTATAAATTGCTTTGGGTAGTACGGACACTTTGATGATGTTAATTCTTCCAATCCATGAACATGGTATATACTTCCATTTATTTGTGTCTTTCTTAATTTCTTTCTTCAGTGTTGTGTAGTTTTCTGAGTGCAGGTCTTTTGCCTCCTTGGTTAAGTTTATTCCTAGATACTTTATTTTTCTGGTTGCTATAGCAAATGAGATTTTTCTCCTGGATTCTGTTTCTGATAGTTGATTGTTGGGTACAAAAATGCCTTTGATTTCTGAATATCTACTTTATATCCCGCTCTTTTGCCAAATTCACTTATTAGGTTGAGTAGTTTTTTGGTGGAGTCTATAGGGTTTTTTATGTACTCTTGTACTCTATCGTGTCATCTGCAAACAATGACAATTTTACTTCCTCCCTCCCAGTTTGGATGCCTTTTATTTCTTTTTCTTGTCTGATTGCTGTGGCTAGGACTTCCAATACTATGTTGAACAGAAGTAGTGAAAGTGGACAACCTTGTCTTGTTCCCAATCTTAGTGGGAAAGCTTTTAGTTCTTGCCCATTGAGTGTGATGTTGGCTGTAGGTTTCTCCTATATGGCCTTTATTATATTGAGGTATGCTCCCCCAACTCCCATTTGCTACATGTTTTTATAATAAGTGGGTTCTGTACCTTATCAAATACTTTTATACATCTATGATATGATCATGTGGTTTTTGTCTTTCCTTTTGTTTATGTGATGTATTACATTTATTGATTTGCAAATATTGAACCATCCTTGCATCCCTAGGATGAATCCCACTTGATTATCATGTATAATTTTTTAAATATATTGCTGGATGTGATTTGCCAATATTTTGTTGAGGATTTTAGCATCTATGTCCATCAGTGATATTTATCTGTAGTTTTCTTTCTTTGTTGTGTTTTTATCTGGTTTTTGGATTAGGATGATGCTGGCCTCATAAAAAGAGTTTGGGGGACTTCCCTCTTCCTGGATTTTTTGAAATGCTCTGAGAAGGATAGGGCTTAGCTCTTCCTTAAATGTTTTATAAAATTTCCTGTGAAACTGTCCAGTCCAAGGCTTTTCTGTGCTGGGAGTTTTTGTTTTTGTTTTCCCCTTTTTCTTTTTCTTTTTTTTAATATATGGGTAACCTGGGGACCCACCACTTGTGATTGGTGTGTGAAGTGAGGGGCAGCCTTGTGAGACTG